AGGGTCTATAAATAGCTAGAAAAAGATAAAAGTACAGGCCCATTACTTGACAGGGAAGGAAAGAAAATGAAAGATAAGATTTACAAATAAGAAGAAAAAGTATTTTTGACTTCAGTCCACAAAAAAAGTTAATAACTAATTCAACGAGAGGATAGCAGCATGTTAAGAAACGAAAGGAATAAACTGAAGTATTTGGAGGACTTAAGATAGTAATCAAGCTGGCAATAGCTGATTAATTTATCCTAAAAATACTCCAATAATTAGCCAGATTAGTGCGGACCATTAACGATCATCTCTGCGAACTCATAGAGCCCGGAGAAGAGTCCAAGAGAACGGGAAGAAAAACAAAAGGAACATACAGAAAGAAACAAGGGATTATATCATTCAACCTAAACCTGAAAAAATGCTAGAATAATTAAAAAGAATCATATTTGTAAATGCCTAGGGAAAAATAACTCAGTAAAGCCCACCAACATAGATCTGTCAGCAGCAAGCTATGCCACACCACACTATTCTCCATTTCTTTCTTTGTGCAAACTGGCCTAGTGGCTACAGGAGCACTACCTGCAGAAATCTCACTGCTGCTGCAAAGGCTTTTGAAATGGCAACCATGTAAAATCCTCACAGATGAAACAGTGAGCTCCAATTCATACCAATCACAAGCAGAATGACAACTATAAAAAATGCTCTCAAAAAGCAACTACCAAAGGCTTACTGGGAAACTGAGAAGATACTCAAGTGGGGTCCTGCAATGCTTTACCAGGGATCCATTCCATACGTTCATTAACAACTCAGATTACAGAGTAAAAGAGGACATTTGCAAGACTTGCCCATGATACCATACTCGGATGAGTTGCACACAGTTTAGGACACAAGAACAGAATGCTGATCTTGATAAATTCCATCTGAGATCGATTAAAGACAGCTGTGCACACACCAAATATGAATAAAAGTACAAAATGGAGATTAGTAGGCTGGACAGTAGCGGTACAGAAATGGATCCGGAGCACTTGCAAGATGCAGATTGAATGTAAGTCAGTGTGATGCAGTTGCAAAAAGACAAATGTAATTCTGGCATGCATTAATGCAACTAATATATGTAAGCCCCAGGAGCTAATAGCCTCATTTACTCTGCACTAGCCTCAGCCAGCACTTTGGGTCGCACTTTGGACAATACAATTTAAGAATACAGTCAAACTGGAGAAGATCCAGAGGGGAGCACAAAAAATTCCTCGATTAGAAGACCTGACCCATGAGAAGTAATTGAATTAACTGGGTTTACTTAAAAGACGAGACCAAAAGGACAAGATAGCAAGGTTCATATGAGGCCACTATTCATCATACCTTTTGCCAGTAAGAACAGTAAGTAATCGACTTTAACTTGCAGGGATACAAATTTTGCTTTGATAACTTCCCACGTGTAAGGTTCAACACTGGTACACACTGCTTACAGGGTCATGGAATCCCTTTCATGGGAAGCTGTTAAACAAGTCAAGCAAAAAGACTGTCACAGTCTTGGCAGATCTGATCCAATCTTGGAGCAAGGTAATGGACTACATAACTTCTTGAGATTTCCTTTAGTCCTTTTCTCTGAAAGATCTGCAACATGCAGTAACGTCTTGCATGGTGTTTGTGATTTTGTAACAGGCTAAGAAGAGAGAACATACAAACGTGTTTGCCACACCATCAAAGCGCTGCATAGAACTTAACCTTTTACATTAAATGGACAGTATTTTTCAGAGGAAAGCTGTGTAGTATTTCCTGAAAAACCTGAGACACTGCTTGAACAGACTCATGCTGGGTAACAATGTCGTGATGAATACAAGTTCCTCCCTTCCCAGAAACCTCAGTGCTAAAAGCCATATCAAAGTTTCAAAATATACATCCAACCTATTCTTTCACTGAAAGCTACCCAAATAATGCAACTCCCTCAGGAAGTCTCTAGTTTATCTTATCTACACCAAAAGCCATAAAACAACAACAGTACGTTAAGTATCTCCAAATAATCAAAGCACCAATAGCAAAATTCCACAGACAGAACTTTACATTTACATTACCTTCCCACTGTCTAGACTTGGGCAACACTTCTGATGACACTACGGAATACGGAAGGATCATAAACTGAACAAGTCCAAAGGTGAGTTTTGGAGGCAAATTCAAAGTCCAAAGCAAAACCTTTAAGGTTTAAACAGGTAAATTAAAGGCCTAAAAATTATACTCAGTACAATGGAGCTGAGTAGATACAAGTGCAAGCTGACCTCTACTTTCTTTGTGAACTCTGCAAGACTAATCAACTTCACTGGTCAGACCTCAGGAAGACCGCAGTTTTACTAAAACTCTCCAACCTGTTTTTGTGAAAATGGGAAACAAAACGTAGGCGTCAATCCTGTCAGCGTTTGATGACAAAAGAAATCCTACTAGTTCATTTCGTCAAGACAGGAAAGCAGTTCTATACAGTTTACTGAAATGCTGCAAATTCCTTTATTACTATGTGGTTTGCAAACAGCCCCTGGTCATTAGCTTTAGCTGAGCTGAAGTGTTTTCAGCTTAACAGCAAATAACCAAAAGATGGTCTCCAGGGACTATTAGAGAGCACAGTATACAGCCAACTACTCCCTTAAGGCTACACAGCAACCATCTTCAACTTCTATTTCAGATTTTTCACATAGCTTTTTGATAGCAAGAAACCAGTATTTCTTAAGAGATAGGCTAAATGCAAGTTTCTGTACTTTTATTTACTCACTTAAGTCTGCATTAAGACAAACTGTAAAGCTGTTCTTACTGATTGATTATCCAGCAGTCCTTGGTCATCTGACCTTATTATGATTACATACACTAACTTTTTCTAGTATCTAAGGTGAGAAATTTTTTTGAAAGCATTGTAAGTCCTGCTCTTATTTTTAAAATACATTTAAAGAGAAACCCGGAAGAGATGCAGGCTTTTGAAAAATCTAAAAACATATTAAATTGTGTTCCACGAGTATCCATCACAGCTGACAACCATGCTGACAATGCCAGAATACTTAACCTAAAGGCTGTCCCTGCATGAAGACAAATCTTTCCCAACAGAACACGGGAAATTTTCCACGCCTATTTTTTTGGTCCTTTTAGACAGCTTCAAGCTCCAGGACTGCCCTTAGCTAGCAAATACATTTCAGAAGTGAAGTAATAATTGTTTTTAAGAGCAGGCAGGAAATATCACATTTTACATTTTAGTTTTTTAATCTCTTTAATCAGACACATTACAATGCACAACTGTGTCTTTAGCCAGATAACAGGATGCCATCCTTCAGATCAGGAAGAGATGATAGAAAACTCCTAGACCTTCCTCTGAACTTTTAGGTACATGGAGTATTGCAAATATTCTCAATGATAACAATTCCCCCACTTAGTGTAGCGTTCCCACTATTCTTATAAAGCCTTTATAACAATTCAGTCATAGGTTTAATTTGTTACCATATTTTAGATTACAACCACTGCAGCTAGGAGTCTTATTGAACTGAGGATTGCCTTTGCCGTCTAGTACATAAAAAACATCAATTCATATGGTATTTTCAAATTGAGCATCATACAGTTTTGAAAATATAACAATTCTAACATAATTCATCCATCCTACAAGTGATATAGCTTTCCAGCTCTTAAGTGCTCATTAAGAGAGATTGTTTATGAAATAAAATATTTTTATTTAATGCTACACAATCTGAACTGAAGGAACATATACTTCACTTTAGGATTGAACTATAGGGATGCATCCCAAATATTCTCCAAAGTAAAATCAGATTACCAAATATCAATAAGTGCAAGAGATACCTTAATCAATTTGCACTGGGCATATTTTTAGACAAACTACAGCATAGGAACATTTAAACACTCCTCCCCCATCCAGCACAAAGGTTGAGAGCAGATTTCTTGTCTCCTGGGAGCCAGTCTGTCAGGATATACTTATTGATAACATTAAAAAAAAAATAAATGAAGGGTTACATTCTGATGTCAAGTGCACAAGTGCAGTAGTGGATTACTCCCAGAGGAGAACAACTTTATCTATAAAAGTGGTATACAGGTTATCCCAGAATGACTATAATACAGAGAAACTATGCCAAAGTGAGTATTTACAGAGATAACTGCCATAGTAAAGAGGACAGAAAGCTAATCTCACAGAAGTAGTTCATTAAAGAGCAAACAAGTGGACAAAGACTTTGACTTTATATAATAAAATACCAAGTGCATTCTTTTAAGTGAATGAGTCTTTGAGGCTATGGTCCTAGATTTCAGGAAGCCATTTGAAGGTCAGATAAACAGTCCTGCCATGCAGCAAGAGTTACTCGGACTGCCAAAATTATTTTGCATCAATTGTAACCAAAAAAAACCCACCACTATTCTAGCATTGCTTCTTACTGTAGATTGAAAACTAAAGTTCTTAAACAAGCCCACGCCAAATGTAGAGGATGGGAGACCTTCTAGCACAATTCAGATGTTTTCTACCACTTCTGCGCTGTACATCTGGGATTAGAACTGTGCCCATAACACTAAGGTTAATTATGTTTAGCTTCTCAAATGCTCTTGGCCAGACTGCTTATTATCCAGCTTTCTCTTGACAATGAAACTTCAATCACATCTGATGTCTTAAAACTAGCCATATGATTTTAGTTACTTTGGCTCTACTCCAATAGGCTTATTTTAAGCTGGTTGTGAAGTAAGGGTATTAATAGCTGGTTACTTTATGTATTTCTTGAAGAGCTGCTACTGAAACAACCAGAGACATCTGAAGGGGGAGCTTGTGTGGTTGACTGCTCAAGTATCTTTAAAAACCTTTCAAATCAATAATTACAACTAAGGGCAGAGTTACTTTAACCTGATATAATATTTGTGAGCGTTACTCAAGCCAGCATGCCCCAGAGCATTCAATTCTATCATCTTTCAGCTTCCTCAGCCATCTACCAAATATTAAGGATCACTTGTCTAACAAGAATCTCTCCAGTGCATGACTCCAAGGAACAAGCTCCCTTGCAATAAAGGAATCTCATTCTAAATGACTTTTAGTACTAGATTCGCATGTGCAGAACAAAACACGTGGAAGGAAGTCTCACGATTCTAATGCAGCTTCTAAGGAGTTGAGTTTGCCTCTTGAGCCAAGAACTTGAACACTAGTGACTGAGCTCAAGCATGCAGCACACTGAACAATAAATCTGAGCAGCTTCCCTCTTCACTTAAGATTAATTTACTGTAATGTACATTACTTTCAGTGGAATAATACTGCTCAAGTTTTGGCAGGATGGGGAAGATTCCACTTTGTCTTTTTTAGGATATTAATAAGGCAGATAATGCAGAAAGTTGAAACAGAACTTCTACAAGCATTTAATCTGTGATACTGTAAAATCAAAGTACTACTTTATTAAATGAGTTATTTTACACAATATGAACATCAATATAATTACAATTGTAAAAAATTTTTTATAACAAGTATGGACTGATTTTTCAGGATTTCCAAATAGGGCACAACTGTACATTTACACAGAATTGTCTTTGCATGAAGCCCAAGAGGGAACAGCATAAAAATATGAATGTTTCTGTAGCCCCTTCATTTTTGCTGATCAACAGTTTTAGAAAAGCAGCTGCAGGTTTGTTATGTAAGGTCTGACAGTAGAAGAGTCAATAGGTGCCATGACTTCACCTATAAAAAACAAGAATAACTCAGTTAAGCTGAACTGTTACACAATGTTGCTTACCTTTGAGTGAATGAAATACCATAACTATTTTACCTTATTTCAGCCTTTTTCGTTGTAACCACATTTTCAGTTACAGCCTAACAAATGGCTATTGGGAAGTCTACTCCACAAGTTCATACAGAGGTTAAATTTTATGTCTAGATGCAGAAGAATCTGCATTCACTTGCCTAACTTCAAGAACAAGAAAGGCTCAATTATTGGGCACGCTAAACAACTTATTACGTGTTTTGTAGCAACAGCAGACTGTATTTACTACAAATACTTTGTTCAAAGCAAAAACTAATGAATAATGTATTCTTATAACTAAGAATGACCATTTCAAATTACATTCATTCCCTTTAAAACAGCATCCTTGCACAGTGAAGTGCCACAGCCCTTTCACTCACGTAAGTATTAGTTTGCGTCTCACGTGTAACAGTTCGGGGGTATAACTTTGAACTACAGTTAATTTTCACATAAGAGAAAAAACAGCAAGTATCAACTCTCAGCTGGTTGGGGAAAAAGCTACTTTACAATACAACTTTCTCAGACTATTATTTATAAATTAAGGTAACGACCTGTAGACAACTTTACGCCTGAACATCAGCCAATTCTGGAGGAAGTGGAGTCTTAGGATGCTTGCTTTCAAAGTGCTGTTTGAAGGTCTTGGGGTCCGGCATTTGTGTCTGATTAAAGAGAGACATTTAACTTTATGCACAGTACAAGAGCGAAATGATATTACAAAAACTGTTCTCCCACTATGTTTTAGTTTGCTTTACAAAGAAAAAAAATCTCCTCAATGACACTGCTCTAGGGATAGAAGCACCATTAATGTAGCTGCATATTAAGAGAGAATGTTTACCCTCAGAATCAGAGTCACTTTTAAGCATTAGTATCACAGTCTTGGCATGTTCATCAACAGTATTATTCTTACTTGAAACCTCCCTGCAGCTCTTATGTATGTCACATGCTACTTTGGTGGGGAAACTTATCTCCTTACCATTTTCCTTTTCAACATAAAAATACAAATGTTTATCCTTTTCAGAAGCAAATCTTTATGAAAGGTATTTATTCTGTTTACGAAAAGGCTCAAGAGTTACGCAGCACAGGCCGATTCTCTATGTGGCACAAGCTATCTAAGACCATTGCTGCTACATACCTGCAGGCATTAACTGCCCAAAGCAATTACTACTACTGCCTCATTTCACAAAAAGGAAGTACTGGTTACAAGTACTTAAGTGGGCATTCCTTAATTTGGAATCTTCTTTAAGACATTAAGAGTGACAAATCTATCCTAGGACTGGCTATTTAGGTGAAAAATGCAAGTTTATCCTTCAGCTCCAAGACTGGCACATTCTTCAGGAAGTCAGCCAGAAAGAAAGTATAGTCTCATTAGTGCTTACATTTCTGTTCTCTTTTCAAGTCATTTATTCTAGTAGAAGTTGTTGTATATCACACCTACATTCAAGCTTTTAGTATCAGGCAGTAACACTTTTCCTCTCTTCATTAACATCAATAACCAGTGATCCTAAGGCAGGCCAGTTCCTGTACATCACCAAATGAAAAGACGCTTCCTTTGTGATGGAAGTGATCTTAAACCTTTTAAACTTTATATGACATACCAATAGCACATGCAGACCCTTGCAGGTCAGCAGGCAGGATAACTAGCTGTACAAAACAGATCAGCACATGTCCTCACAGATTTTCTTATATCTAAATTATCAGTTCAGCTGCGTGACCTGTAAACAAGTCACAACTTTATATTAGATACATAACAGATACAAAGGTTTATAGCAAAAAGCTAGTCAGCCACTTAAAAGTGGCTTTACTTAGTTTCCACTGTATCATCTTCTAACAAGTTCCGCTATAGCCTGGAAGAAAGTCCTGCCTACAATAATACTTGGCCTTCAGTTCCTCTTACCCTACAGACAGTGCAGGTATATATCAAGGCAGCCTTGGCTGCAGCCTTCTGATCATGTCCTTGTTTCTTTTTTTGCTCAGCTTGTTTTTTGGCATTTTTCTGCTGTGACTGAATCTTCTGCTGTCCACGAGCCATATCTACAAACAAAAAGAAGACATTTAGTCTATGCATGTGAGAAACAACTGCTGCTAGTTGACTCACAGGCCATAACTATGAACATAAGCAGTCTTGTGCTCTTTCCATAAGGCCTACAACTCCCATAATTCAAATACTACAGATGTCTGTTCAAGCTCTTTTTGTAAAGACCCTCTGGTTTTAGTATCTTGCCAAAAATATTCACTACATTAAATTAATCCATTCTAACGCTTCCTCTTCTAGAAGGTTCAAGGTCTACCTCTGAAAGGTGTTTTCAAAGAGTAAAACAATTTGTTTCCTTTGCAGTTAATAGAAACTTTTTCTCCATCTCCACAGGTACAGTAAAATTTAGAGTTTTTGTTTTTGTTTTTGTTTTTTTTTAACTTAAGACTCAGCCTTTATTTCTGGAAACCAGAACAGGCTCCAAGAAAGACAAATCAAAAATATTTTTTGGTGTACCTGCTTGTGATTTGCTTTGGAATCAGGAACAGTAAGAACAACATGTCATCTTTCTTTATGCAAGGCTGTTTTTATAGGCAATCATCCTCTTTGATTTCCAGCTGACTTCATATACATGTATTCCTTAGAAAAATGGAGTAAAAGTGCCTCCATCAGGAGTCCTTACTCCATACAAAACAGCAGCATAAAGGAACCAGACATTGTTGCCACCTACCATTAGAAGGTCCACCATAAAAAGAAACGGGATACTAAACCACATTTCAGGCAACAGCTAAATGACGTATTTTACAAAGTAACGTTCCACCTGCATGCAGCCTACTAGGACACCCAACCCAGCCAGCAACCCACCCCCAGAGCAGATGCCAGGCAGGATTCAGGAACACAAACACAGCAGACTTCAAAGTGTGATTATATAATCCAGCAGCCCACTTTCAGCTACCATCCTTCTTACAGTCTCTTACATCCCACACATAATCCAGTTGTGCGGCTCTCCTGGAAATGCTACATTTACTATACAAGCACAGGACAGCTAGTAAAGTCCATTGTTTCCAGGACGACTAGTAAAGTCTAACGCTGCCCAGAAGCTAGTTGGTTGGTTATTGTCCCTATATGCAACGTGTAGCTTTGCAGTAAGTTTAGGACTTCATGAAAATGCACCACACAGATACAACAGGTCTGTCATGCAGTCCTTCCTACAAGGACAGCCTTCCACTGCAAGGAGAATGGCCTATCTAGACAAAAGATTGAGCTCCAGTAAGTAGCTACGAAAATTCCTCAGAACCACTATAAAAATGAAATTTTCACGAAGCGCGTCAGCTGCACCTGGAAATTCAGTAGTATTGCAAGAATTCCTAGACATGTAGCTTCAAAGCGCTCAACACATAAACAAGAAGATGGTCCTGACCAAAAAGAGCTCTCACAGACTGAGAGGCACCTTTCAGGCCAAAGGGTCAAGTTTTCTCTCTGCATCTCTCTCTGCACACCATGCAACTCTGCAAAAGTATCATCCTACATCTTGAATGTTCCCCTACCAGTTTCTCCAGAAGAAAATTTAGAAGTCCAAGTAATTCTATAGCTAATATTCTTTAATATGGCTAATAACAATGAGGACAAGAAAACTAATTCTATTAACAAGCATACAGAAATATATGAAGTTTCTGGTGCTCAACAGTTTCCAGGAGATATAGCATCAAATGTTAATAGATTAAAAATACCAGTTTATGTTTCACTGTCAAAAGTTTCAGTGGATGCTACCATTACTCTGAAACACCCCAGCCAGGGCCTCACACTGTTTATGTAGAGCACGGCTTAAAAAGAACTTTGCATTCCCGTTAAAAAAAAAAGAAAGTTATTGGCAATAGCTTTACATATACTAGAAGGAACTGTAGATTTATTTCAGTTCCATTTTATTAGCATTACAGCAACCCTCCAAGAGTCAAAGAGCTCCCGACAGAAAATATATATTCAGATATAGTAAGCAAGAAATAGTAATATGCAACTGCTTTATTAAGATCTATGTATTTTAGTCCCTTGATAAGAGCTCGTTAACTACTACATTGCAACAGCTCAGTCACACTGAGCTCATATGTATTGGGCAATTGCTGTTTTTAGCTAAGACACAAACAAGGAAATATGAACAAAAACATCTGCTTAAAAAATATCAACTTTCATAGGATGCCGGGGACCAAAACACCAGCAGTGTTTAAATACTGCAAGTTACACTTAATGTAACTGAAACACACAGAGCACTAACTATTGGAAAATTAAGAACATTTGACCTATGAGTATGCTGACAAACTGACAAAGACAATCCCAAAGTTTGTTATAAAAAGAAAATAGAGTTCATCTACAAGGCTACAGCTGCCTTTTAGTTGCACAACACAGATAAATGTTGTTTCCTTTATCAGGCACACCCTCTAAGAGTTCAGCAAACTGGCCTGGTGTTTGGAAGAGAAGCGTGTGAGCGCACAGGAAACCTAACATACAACATACCAACACACGAGACCTTGCAGCTGGATCATAAAAGCAACAGCACATGCGTTACAGTGCAGCGTGGCTAAAACCTGCAGTATGCTGATGCCTCACACAGACTCATTTCCTTGTCAACACCCAGGGCCCGAGCAGATACTTTCAAGTCCTAAAGCCAGACACCAACAGCTGCTTCCGCTGTCACTTCCAGAGACACACAGCAGCTCGCAG